CTAAGGATAGAACAAGAAGCAATGGGCTTAAACTGCAGCAAGGGAGGTTTAGGTTGGACATTAGGAAAAAGTTCCTAACTGTCAGGGTGGTTAAACACTGGAATAAATTGCCTAGGGAGGTTGTGGAATCTCCATCTCTGGAGATATTTAAGAGTAGGTTAGATAAATGTCTATCCGGGATGGTCTAGACAGTATTTGGTCCTGCCATGAGGGCAGGGGACTGGACTTGATGACCTCTCGAGATCCCTTCCAGTCCTAGAATCTATGAATCTATGGAATGCCTTTGAAATGGTTCTCTCAGACATCTCAGAGGGTTACGTTGGGCAAGAGACTGTCTCTCTTGGTGTTTCCACAATTCCCAGCACTATGGGACCCCAACTTTCATTACGGCCATTGAGTGGTATGTAATATAATAAATAATAAGATAGTAAAGCATACATGACAATTATAATACTCATGGCTCTTTCTTCCCAGTCACATAGGAACTCTCACTTTTGGAGACCAACCAAGTTAAATTTTGTCACTCTTTCTGCATGAAGATTCTGGGGCAAACTGTGAGACAATATGGTGCCATTATTAGGTACATGGCACTCTACATAATAGTGAGACTAGATGGCTCTAAGTCTCCTTTTTTGGGGGCCAAGGTTAGAGTGACCATATTTCCCTATGCTGAATACGGGACACCTGGTAAAATTACTCATATTCAAGCGAGTTCAGCGGCAATTGATCAGAACTATGCAGTACAACATTCAAATTAACATCAAGCTGACTGAGCCCTCGTTAAAAAGAAATATTGCGCAGTTGGATTCTTTTTATTTGCCTTCTTATCTTTAAGGCTTTAGGGTTCACACAGGGAGGGGTGACACACACATCCCTTACCCCACCTCCCCAGACTCCCGTACACCTCTCCCACACGAGATGGGCGGGGGGGGGGATCACATGCCCTCCCCTCCCCAGATTTCTGCCAGGGTTCACACCAGAATGTGGCCAGCAGCAGTCTTTCAGCACTGTGTGGAAGGGAAGGGACAGGAGCTGCTTCCAGCTGCAGGGGAGGATGAGGGGGGAAGGGGTGACGTGGTCAGTGTCTTTGCAGAACTTATCTCTTCTCTTCCCTGCCCCCTCCTCCCCTCGCCTGTGACTGGAAGCAGATTGTCCCTTCCTGCCTACACAGTATTGAAAGGCAGCTAACATCTCCAGGCTGCTGCTGGCCACCGATATAACCCAGCTGCCTCTTGTCCCCTGGCTACAGCGCAGGCAGGAAGGGGTTAAGCCCTAAGGATGAATTGTGCACCACGGCCTAGGGAACCTGACTGCAGGGGCTTCAACGAATCCAGACAGAGAGGTGGCTAAGCAGGGGAGGGTGCCTAGGGGATGGAGCAGCCCCAACTCCCTGGGTGCAGGACCCAGGGCGGAGGGGTAGGGAGTGAAGAGGGTGCTAAGGCCCTGCCCCAGGGGCTGCTGTGGAGCCTGCAAGTTCAGGATGTGAACAGGCTGGAAATCGCTTCCCCTGCCACTCCAGAGCTTAGCTGAGGGGCGTAGAGGCTTCCCTGTGCCAGTTCTGTGCAGGACTTTGGTACATGCAGGGCTTGGCTCCTCCTGGCCAGCCTGGAAGGAGCCTGCAGGCCAGGCTGTTGGTGAGCTGAGCGTTCTGACCAAGGACTGGCTGTCCGCCCAGCATTGGAAGCGGGATGCGCCCTGCCGGTGGGGATATGGAGGAGCAGCTGGTCTGGGGGAGGGGTGAAGGGGCAAAGCAGGGAGAGGACATTGAGAGGTGGAGCACGTAAAGGACTGATGGGTGGGCAGCAGAGGTGACATGTAACTGGCCGCTGCCTGGGGCCTGCCCACACTCAACAGCCACTGCAGCGTGCAGGCAGTGCTGGCCAGAAACAGGACAGGGGGCAGGTTCCTACTGGCAGAAAGCTGGCACGCAGCATGGGCTGCGCTGACCCAGCAGGGTGGGGGCAGTAGCCCCACACATTGTGTCTTCGCCCCACCACCAGCTTTGCACACCCACCCCCATCGTTGGCCACTGGATCCCCCTATTTCCCGCTGGTGGGAGGGCGGCTGGTGAATAGGGATCTGGCTAGCAGCAGGATTAGACCTGCCAGTACTGATTGGGGAGGGGGGACAGAAAATACGGGATAATTTGCCTATTTTTAAGAAAAAATCGGGACACCTGCAGGAGGGCTTAAATATGGGACTGTGCCTTTAAAAATGGGACATCTGGTCAGCACAGCCAAGATGACACCATCTTCTTGCTCCTCCCAGCGTTTGGCAGATGGGGGATCTGGATGAAAGTGGCTTAGATTCAAGCTGTATAAAACAGAATTGATGCTGATTGGCAGGAAGAAGCGTTTTGAAGAACTGGCAAAGCCAGTAACTATTCCTCCAGTCTCTGTCCGCCCATGGTCAAATCTTGGTCTTACTAGACTCCTCTCTACTCCAAATCTCCAAGGTAGCAAAATTGGCCAGAAACACTTTTTTGGGGCTGGACAAGAGATTGAACCCTTTCTTCTTAGATGTGGACTTTTCTCTTTTATTAACTCAAATCTAGACCTCTTCTACACACAATAGCTGCACCAGTTTAACAAAAATAATTTAACCCCCCACCACCACAACAATTTTAGTTAATTCAGAGCAAACTCCTGAGTTTAGACACTCTTACTTTGGTTTAGCTTGCACCTCTGAATTTACTAATGCGAATTACACCAATATAAACTGGATGTAAATCAGTTAGGTGTGTCTACCTAGGGTTTTTACACCATTTTTATTAAATCAGTTAAACATTGTAGTTTAGTTACACCAATGCAACTTTCTGTGTAAACCAGGTCCTAGACTACAACATGTGGCACCTGAGACTACCTTTGAAAGCTTCTTGGAATCTAGTGTAGAATGTGTTTGCCCCACCTTCTGAGTGGGGCAGAATGGTGTGAGTATGTTTGAGAGAGAGTCTTCAAGATAATTGGGACTCTGTTGGTCATGACCCCCTACATTCAACTGTAGAATACTTCAGCTATCATCCTAAGGGAGGTGTTTGCAGAGGCAGAACACTCAGTTGCCATAACTAGCCTCTGGAATTCACTCCTGCTTGGCTGGACAGATTGCTTATGAGAGCGTGCAAGTCTGGTCACTTTTAGAGCTCAACATAAGATGCATCTTTCTGATCAGGCTTTTCACTAACTGCCCCTCCTGGCTAGGTTTTGCTGTTTCTGTCCCTTAAAGTTATCCATTTTGGGGCTGCAGGGGACTGAGTATAGGCTCCTATTTTGGTAATGGGTTGTCCTTAATCATTTTAACCACATAACTTGCTCTCAAGATACCATGATGCGAGACACTTTATAAATGCAGGTGATAATATAGAGGTATTAATACTAAAATCTGGGGGGGGGATTGAGTGGAAAACTAAACAAAAGGAACTAATTTCAACAAATACTCTATGTATATTCCTGCGATATTATAACATTTTAGTTTGTGTGGAGAGAAACTCAAATACCAAGTGTTCTCCCATTTTCACTCTCTTTGCAGCTATTCCTAAAGTTATGATTGAACCATCTCGTCCAAATAATATATTCAAGGGCAATACTACACTTCCGAAGGGCAGCAGCGGTATGACCAATAGGATTCCTGACATTGGAGGTACAAGACAGCCCCTGAGACCACCACATATACCAGCTATTATTACAGTAAGGCCTGCAGCCAAGCCAACAGTACAACCTACACCAAAACCAACAATATGGCCTACACCCAAGCCAACTACTAGGTTTGTACCAAAACCGATGACAACAAGACCACCACTGAAGCCAGCAACAAGGCCTCCAACACCTCCACAACCTACAACATCAAAACCTGCACCAACAGCAAGAACCCCACAGTTAACAACTAAAGACTCTTCTCTTGTTCCCACTGAAACTACCTCTCCCCAAGGATTTACAGTTGACAACAGAATACAAATAGAACCTCAGAAACCACGAGGGGATGTGTTTAGTAAGTACACCTATATGTTCTTTCATTAATAGCATGTGTAAATTGCAGGTGAAAGGAAGTATTGCATTCTATTGTCTTCAGAAAATTTTCATAGATGGCATGTAGGATATGAAATTGCAAATGGTGACATTGTGATAGCCTTTACCACTTCAGTGCCCTATGGACCGTTGCCATTGGACATTGCATGCCTCTGAATATAAAGTATGTTGTTATCCTATTGAAATATGGGCCATATTAAATCTATGTGGCCATAGAGATAACCGCCCACTTTAGCATTCAGGGGTTAACAGGCTTTCAGTTCAGTCCCCTGGCCTTGCATTGTTGAGGTCCATTGTTCTTCTGAATATTTTGGACAATAGGTTTAAAAGTTGAGGTGTTGAGTGACTGTAACATAGGGCATTCTTTCAGCTGCATGAATGTGAAAGAAATAGCACGTAATGTATGAACCAGTAAGGCTTTGTGTGTGTTGTGTGAATTCATGTAGTAGTCTCTTTCATATTTACTGCTAACCCATAACAAAAACACATTAAAAATAATACTGAGGCTTGTTTTATGGAATGTGCCTACAAAAATCAGCTCATGATACTGAAGATGCTCTTAGAATGTAGAAGTGTCATTTTGAGAGCTTCCCTGAAAGATATTGCAGTATTTTTGTGTAAGCTTTACTACATACCACAAATGACATTGCTGGTGCGTGTAGTTAGACATGCCTGCCAAGAAATACTCAACACCCTAATTCATCTTTAGCACTGTGGCTGCAGTTAATTATAGAGATTGGGAGTGTGTGTTAGATCAGCTCTTTTCTTCAGCCAATAAAGCTTCTGAAGCAATATAGGAGGAAAACATTTGCTGTCTCAGAGCAGGTGGACAGGCACTTGTGGGGTTTTTTTGTTTGTGATTTTGGTTTCTATACAGTAGCTTCTAGGGGTGTGTTCTTTATGATTACGCAGTGAAATATTTCATCCTTTAAATAAAGGATTTGTTTTTCTGGTAATATTTTATCTGCTGCAGGCAGTTTGACTATTTTGTGGGGGGAGAAAAAAAATGAACTAGAAAGAATTAAAGAAGATTAAAACTGTTTTTCAAGGGTAATTTTTAAACAATCACTATAACTTGTTCAGTCTAAGAAACTGAATCTTAAATATAAATGTTTTTGTAAAAATATACTTTTACATCCTCAAATGTATTTTAGACAGCAATAATTTGTTATATTTTATTTATATTGAAGGAACTTGTTTACTTTCTAAGGGCCTGATCCTGCAAACATTTAAGCATGTGAGTAACTTTATTCAGATGAGTAGTCCCAAAGTGTTCAAAATAGGGCTTATGTGAGATGTAAGTGGTGCAAGAGCCTTATGCTGGCTTTTTGCACCATGATTTCACCCATTAGTATTTATCAGCATTCTTGAATTGTCACAGAATCACTGAATTTCTTAATATGGTCTGGCATCTCTATTTTATTTTCTCTCTAATTTCCAACTATCTGTCTAAGGGCTTGAGTCTCTTCCCACTTACACCAGTGTAAATCAGAAGTAACTACTTGGAGATCAGCAGAATTGCACTGGCATAAACTGGTGAGACTGAGAGGAGAATCAAGACCTTAAGTAGTTTCTAAAACTGGAAAGTAATGCTTTTTAAATTAATATGCTACTGTAATACTCAGCTGATACCAGCCTAAAGCTGTTGTCGTAAAATATTCTTTGCACACTTTCTCAGCCTTTTTTCTAGGTAAAGGATAATGTCAATTTAATATTCAGTAAGGTGATGGACCCAGAAAGTCAATGTTCTAATAGGTCCTTTCCATCTCTAATTGCTATGATCCTATATTACTAAAATATTCTTTGTATTTCTGATGACTGATCCTGATCACCCACAAGAGCAAAGTCTATAGTTAGGTAACTTCTCAGCCTAGTTATGACTAGCAGAGAGACACGTTTAGGCTGGTACAAGCTGCAGGTAGCAAGGAGGAAACATCTTTAAAATGTTAAAAGTAATGTTATATAAAGCTGTATCTGTCACTCCTAATTTCCTCTGTGCTCTGTGTGCCTGGAGTGGTAATATTGTCCTTTGTTCATGACATGTTTGGGGTTTTGTAAAGATAATGAGTGTTCTGTAATGGGAAAAAGTCCCCTCAGGTAGCTTGCAGCGTTGAGAAACTAAATGACAATTCCTCTGATAGATCCTACAAGGTTACAGTTCTGTCAACCTTATTGAAAAGGCATATCGAATTTAATAGGGATGAAATCATTTGGTTTCTACAAAAATGGAATAGGATTCTATAGAAATTGCTCTAAAAATCTATAGAATTCAGCAGTGATCTCCCATCTACAGGTTTTTTGAACCATCCTATAGAATTTTATAGCAGAAAGATAATTTTCTACTAAATTGTATAGGTCAGTTTAAAACAACCTATAAAATATATCTTTCTCTACAAATTCTATAGGATTTTTCTGTTTTGGGAAGCGTGCTTTCATTTATGTATAGATCAAGATATAGAGATTTGAATTCTGGAAGGTATGAGCTGTTTTTAAGTTTGCTTTTTCAATGTGATCTTAAATTATTGTAGTTGCAAGGAACCTAAGGAAAAGAGATTATCTGCAGCGTGTGTATCATGTTTTTGTTTACGAGTGCTCAGGAGTAGCCATTAGTAGTTTGTGAAATGTATATATAGCCTGAGACCAGTTATTTATCCTTCAATACACTTCAGTACACAAATCAGCCTGATTCGGAGACATGCTGTGCACCTGCTACTGTCATTGACTTTAATAGGCCATATTGGTACTCAGCCACCCTCCATATCAGATCCATAGATATGTGCTTTTTAATCTGTTATCCCTTCTCTTCATTCCATATTAAAGATGTATTTGATGTACATAAAATCAAAGGCGTGAGCAAGATTCAAGATTCCTTTCATGCTCTAGATGTTGACAAATTGTAGGGCACTCCTGGGGTAACCTGCAGCAGGCCTGCTACGTTGTCATTTATTTTTAAAATTATTTGTATTTTGATAGCACCCAGAATGTGGTGGGCACTGTCCCCTACCTCACACAGCAAACACACAGCCCCCGTCTCAAGGCACTTAGTAAGTGAGCATATTATAATGTTCACTCTGGAAGTGAAACCTGCAGTCACGGTTGCAAAACAGTTCCCATCACAGCTCCGTTTTTGTTGTTTGTTATTCAGTGAGCACTATCCGTGTACTCAGCACTATGTAGCATAGAGAAAGCCACGCCTGTTGGCCTCTCAGGCCCTACTGCCACAGAGAGCTTTCAGGTGTGGATAAGGAACAATGTCCTTGTATTAAGGAGGGAATAGTGGGTAGCATATAGGAAGGAAGCTGTTATATTCCCTCACTTAGCTCATTCAGAAAAGATGGCAATTCTCATGTATTTTCACTATACTGGCTTGCTTTGTTTATGTTCCCCAATATTGATCCAGATTGAAAACGTATACAATGGCTGCATTCATGGTTCCTATGTAGATGTTAGATTCCTACCGTAAAGAGACGTTTTTTGTCTATTTAGTGCAAAAATTACAGTTGGTGAAAACCATCCTCCCTGCCAGCCCTGAATTCTCTCCCTGTCCCTCCTAAAGTTGAAATCCCTCCTATCCCCTTTCAATGTTCTATTTGTATGAATAGGCTCTCCACCCTTTTCTGGGCCTCAGTGCATCACGTCGCCCCATTGCACCAGCCTCATCATTCTTAGGATTAGTCAGGTCAGCACTGGAGCTCCCTTCCACAGGAGTAAGGTGCCTGTTGGACATCAGGATTTTTCCTAAGGGTACAGTACCAGTATGTATGTATTGTTAGAATGTCAGAGAAACAGCAAGAGTAGCTGTTTGGTGAGGGATTACCAGAGGCTTCACTGAAGCATTATACATAGCACAAAGGAGCTGCCAGCCTTCCTGACTTAACTAGCTCTACCCAGCTCTGCTCCCACCCCTGGCCTGGTGCTGTAAATTACTGGGTAGCTTTAGAGCAGGGGTCGGCAACGTTCGGCACACGGCGAGCGATGTGCTGGCCGCAGCTTCTCGCCGCCCCCATTGGCCCGGGACGGCAAACAGCAGCCAGTGGGGGCCGCGATCGGCTGAACCTGCCGCGTCAGCAGGTAAATAAACTGGCCCGGCCCGCCAGAGTGCTTACCCTGGCGAGCCGTGTGCCGAACGTTGCCGACCCCTGCTTTAGAGCTTTGTTCCCACCTTCCTTTGTAATGCAAAGGCCAAGTTTAAAGTCAAGATCAAGTTGTTCCTCCCCCTCCTTTTCTGAACCCGTCTGCTCCTTATCCCCTGTATCTTGCTTCCGTTTCCCTTCCTGTGATTTTGTTGTGGGCTCATACCCCAAAGTGAAGCAGACTGAGCAGTGTAGTGGGGTTACCTAAAAGAAAGTGTTACAATCAGTTAACCACATTCTAAGTATACTCCCAAATAGGTAGCTGCCCCTGGGTTACACACCCAGGTGGAATCCTCTGTGTCACCAGATCAGACCAGACACTGCCTGACCATATTCAAATACAACATTCCCTTCTTTAAGTGGCCCACCCTGGTAGTGACATCTCTCCAAGACTCACTCGCAGTTGAACAAATGGGAGGGGGAGTGGGAAGGTAGATAAGGCAAGACAAGATGTAGAAACAGTCAAACAAAAATCCATACATAATACTGGGAGCAAGGAAGAGACTGTGCAAATACTTCCCTTTAGCGTATGCATTTTTTAATTGTTTCATGGAGCTTAGATATTATGATAACAGGTGTGTTAGAAATGCCATAGATTAGATAGAGGTTCAAAGCTGCCCAGAATTTTGAGACATGAGTGCATGAGACAGCTGTGTAATGTTTAGGATATTGCAATTTATTTCCTTCTTGTCCAAAAGGAGAAGCAACATTACGAAAGTGGATCAAAATCTGAATCTATTTCTAGACTGAAAAATTAATCAGTCAATCAAAACCCCAACATCAGCTGAGAAGTTAACTAAAAAGTTATGGTCAGATAAGCTCTTTATAG